AACGCTCGACCTCGACACGTGATATCGAAATGGGCGAAATCGCTTCTTGATATCACTAACTCTCTTGACTCTTGACTCTTGATGGCCTGTCTCATTCTCCAGTTCATAGCGCAATCAGGAGCCGCTCTTCTATCTCAATCAAACCCAATCAATTTCTAATGAGGGAGAAAGGGAACTCATTTTCAACAGTCATTGCCCCTTCGCTTCCATGTGAAGGTGAACTTTGAGGTCGGGTAGCATGAGCGTGCTCCTGTGTTGTGCGAGCCTACGGAAGCCCTGATTCCTAGTACAGAGCAGCATTAGCAGGGCAACACTAAAAAGTAATTCCGACGAAGACATCGGAAACAGGGTTTCCGTCTAATGCGCGGAGAAGGGGATTCCGATTCAAAGCGGAAATCATGTCTCCTATTTTTAACGTAAACATGCTGTTCCGAAAAAAAACCTTGGAATCCATCCCTCCGTCTAAAGCGAGTAATGGAGTTTTCCTCTCATTTTCCGGAAAATTCTAGTTGGAATCGGGTTTCCGTTCACGGAAGTAATTTTCAGTCTCATTTGGGTTTTTCTTATATGCCTTCATTATTCAAAAACGGCTCATTTCATTCGAAATACTGCATGATAAATGGGATTTTATTATTATTACTGGACATCCCCTTATTAATCCATGAGAATTTAGTGCATCCCTACCACTGAGAAGCTGTTAGTTCGATTCACTAACGCGGTTATTCTGTAAGTCACTTTCAGAAAAGATCGCTTCCCGTTCTCGTCTCTCTCCCTCTCTTTTCTCGAAGAGAGTGTGGAGGAGAATGACCGAGTCCTGCATCTTTTATTCATTGATTGGTCCAAGAAGTGCGGGCCGCCGGCAGCCAGGAAATGTAGATGATGTCGGTTAAACAGGGCATCCATCATTTCAGAGCAGTTCCTCTCCCGACGGGCAAAAGAAGCTGTGATGCTCTTCATTTCCCTTGTATCCGATAGGGAAATACACATAAAAATAACTTTCCTCTTGGGAATGAAAACTGTACGGTTTTCGAAGCATCACGGTATCATATTTAAGGGGATATAGGAGGCTAGTGGGAGTCATCTATCATTCGGAACGGAAACTAAAGGTGTCTGGTGGCTTCCTCAAGATGCCAATACTGAAAGGTCACGAAGGATATTTCGACGAATATTCGAAACAGGCTTTTCTGACGCGAACGAGGAAAAGGGTCGTTCGCTTGAACGTCGGAATTTGGATTTATGTCCCTCAGACGTAATATTTTGTGAGGAAGAAGGGAAAAATTCCGCAGAGAAGACAAAACGGGCTTTCCGAGGAAATGCGGGAAATATTTTCCGAGCATGAGGCGAAATCCAGTTTTACAGGTCCTTCGTCGGAAATTTTCACGATGAATTGGAAATTTCCGGAAAAAATGTTTACAGTGAAGAAGACGGAGTTGAGGCATAGTGATGAAGAGGTGGCACACCAAAAAAACAAAAAAACAAACAGGGCAGGGTCGTAGATCTCAGGCCTTTCGCGAACCAAAGATATCAGTACTTCCACTTGGGAACTCATTTCACTCATGCCTTCAAGTCCCATACCACACTAGAGACTGATAAAAGACTGACGGAAAAATAGAGCCGGTGCCTATTTGCGTCTTGACTAAATGTGACTGACGAGGACTAGACTAGACTTGACTGATGCGGTGTGAAGTGGATATCAGAAAGAGCATGTTTAGCAATGGAGCTGTAAAAGTTATGACTAGACTAAAGATGACATGACTCGACTAGACTGAAGAAGACGGATTGGTGTGCATGTACACTACGACTCGCCCATCTTGACTGGACTAGATTAGACTAAACTCATCCGGTGTGTAGCCACCCTATCTCAGGATCAGCCGTACAATCACCATAATTGATTGTCATTGCAAGAAATCAGAGGAAAAAAAAAAGTTATGTAGACTGTGGCCTTGACAGCATAGATGATTTCTTCCGATTCGTTACTTAGAATAATACCGGAATATGGATTTGCTTTATCTTCCCTATGAAAGTAGACATCAATGTTTGAGAATGAAAGCCATCCTGTTTCTTCTAGTAGAATGGAGAGGACAGCTCCACTTACGTGAAAATTTGGCAAAATATGAGGTTAGAGTGATGTGAGGGGCTATGCACTTTCAAATTTGAGCGATGTGAGAATTTACCAATATATGAATTTGAGTTATTGTCTCTGGAGAAAGATAATAACGTTGAAGTGCTCTGATGTGGGAAGTTCCCAATCGTCAAATTTTGTTGGGTAATAAGATGTGAATATTCAAATGTGAGTCGTCTAAACAGAGCGGAAGTTTGATTATGTTGCGAATTTTCCCATTTCAGTGATGATGTAAACTGGATATTAAAATAAGTATGAAAATAGTTCCCTTTTATATGCACTTCCAGAATATATCACATCCAACACTTTCATGTCGCATCCGCCCTGGCAAAGATTAGCCTCTCCTACTTTTCCAAGAACATTCATCAAAGGGAAAGTTGCACTAATACTTAGATTTCCCATATGGAATGAAGGTATTAGTAAATTTTTTGGCTCCCAAATTTTATAGATGATATCAATGCCGATGGCAGAATGTTGCAGCCTTTATAGTTTGATTCGTCATTTGCTGTGTCGTGATACCTACCAAATAAAACATATACTGTATATTGCTCCAAATGTCACATCCGACACAATGAACATGGGTCTATATGAAAAGGGCACCTGCTGAATATTTATCAACGTCTTTGGTTTGCTCTTATCTGGGGTTAAAATTCCCAGGACTTAAATAGCAATCTAGTGAATGTGGCATTTTTTCTCTCTTTGAAGTTCCAGAAAATTGAAATTAATTAATAGTCATTCATATCTCTAATAGTTCAACAACGTTGGGTTTTCAGATGGAGCTGGGAAACCTGGAAAACCTGGAACTTCAGGTTCTGGTGGAATTCCTGGGATACCTGGCAATCTGCCACCAGGAATGCCAAAACCACCATCACAAGGTTTTATTCGGGCAATTGGTTTCCTTTCCTGCCTTGTGAGACTTGCTTCCCCATTTTGCTGGTATCAATTTCCTCTTGTAGGTGGAGGTGGGAAGCCAGCACCATCGGGTGGAGGTGGGGATTCAGCACCATGGGGTGGAGGTGGGAAGCCAGTACCATCGGGTGGAGGTGGGGATTCAGCACCATGGGGTGGAGGTGGGAAGCCAGTACCATCGGGTGGAAGTGCGAAGCAAGCACAATCATTGGAAAATGACAATGTAGACCTATCGGGTAAGTCTATCAATTCAGCATTTTCGGACTTCAGAAGCGTTTTTGGAATGACACATGATAGCCTATCATCATTAAGTTATCCTAAGGCAACCGGCCTCACTTCTGAGATAAGCTGCTGTATTTGACTGGTCTCATACTTGTATACAGGGTGTTCCATTTATCTTGAGACCAAGATTTAAAGAAAAACTGTGTAAATAATAATTTCTATTTTGATTTCAGATTGAAGATAAACTACTACTAAGTTGTTGACTATGGATCCCTGGAGCTTTTCTTCCTTACTGTGATTTTATCATTTCAATAAATGGTACTTCGTGTGTCCAGAAAGTAATGAGAATCGTTTGTAAATTTGTAATTCTTCAAGCAATGCACTTCCCACTGCTCAGCCATTTAGATCAATATATGATCTCTGTGATTGTTGATTTTCAAGTCAATCCGTTGAGAAGTGCTTACAAAGCAGGCATCAAAAGACAGCTCTATGAGCTCAGTGCAACGCAGGCTGTTTTCAACTATTTGGACATGGCTACAAGCGCTGAGAACTTTCGCTTCAACGCGTTCACTTTGTTATTGCGGCCGCTGCCTGTTACACGGAACTGGTCCCTGTGTATGTTAAGTCTACAGTCTTCCGGTGGTTTGGCAGCTTCAGAGAAGCAGCTGAAAAGAGGAGGAACCTTCCTTTCTTGACCAGTCCCACAGTAGCTGTCCAAGATTCACCCAGACAACCAGAGCTTGTCGAGACGGTGCGAGAGCTGATGGATGAAAACTTCCAAGTGACTACTCAAGAACTGGATGAGGGGCTCGGCGTTGGCGAGAGCACTGTCCACGACGTGCTCACACAAGACCTGCAACTGCGCAACGTGGCATCAATTTGGATACCGCACCAACTGACCGAGGACAGCAAAGCGGCTCGCATCAACGGCGCCAAGCACGTCCAGGCATTTTTTTCCGCGAAGGCATGGAGGCTTTCTGCAACAAGCTCAACAAGGCCTTTTGCAGCAAGCTTGTTCCGTGTAACAGGAAGCGGCCGCAATGCCAAGTTTGAACAAAGTGAACGCGTTGAAGCGAAAGTTCTCAGCGCTTGTAGCCACGTCCAAATAGCTGAAAACAGCCCGCGTCGCACTGAGCTCATAGAGCTGTCTTTTGAGGTCTGCTCTGTAAGCACTTCTCAACGGATTGACTTGAAAATCGGCAATCACAGAGATTACATATTGATCTAAATGCCTGAGCAGTGGAAAGTGCATTGCTTGCAGAATTACAAATTTACAAACGATTCTCATTACTTTGCGGACACTCGAACTATTTGTTGCAAACATACCATATTTTTCGATGAAAAGGGTATATCACGGAAACCTTCGTAATTTCTTTATTATTTATTCGTTTGCGCTCAAATAGGCGTAAAAAAATTGTACTGAAATGCTCTAAAAAATATATATGTATAAACATGATTGGAATCGGTGCAGAATTAAAAAATTTATTTAAAATCAAATCGTTACAATTCGTTGGGACACCCTGTAGATCCACGCTTCATAGTGGCAGACACTGACTGTAACAGATTGCAGATTACCTTCGTATATGTATGCGCAGAAGCCCATCTTGATGCAATTCAATCAAGCTCACATTGAGTTGAACATCTTATCGAACTTGGGTGGATCCAGTCGAAGTGGTAACGTTTGGGGCGAAAAAAATGTTAATTTCATTTTTTCTTAATTGCCAACATTTTTGCCTTGTGTCTGGATTCCTCAAAGTTAGAATTTAAGAGATCTTCAACTTAAACTTGGCAGTAGTAGCCCATTTCTGCAAAATTTTAGCAAATAATGTCTTATTCGTGGTTCCAACTTCATATATTAACCAAGACAAAATTTTATGTTTTTATCATGGTGTAATCAGTTTGCTCTATCCTTTGAATAAAATCCTCATTTTTAAAGAAAAATCTCCCCCAGTTTTGCATTTTCATGTCTTTATTCGCACTTCTAGAGCACTCGGACAAATTCATTCAAATAAACCTGGATTTTCTCCATTTAATGAAGCCGACCAATTCCCCAAACTGTTTAAAACTCAGTTGGTGAAGTTTTATGAGGATATTGGAAGAAAACAGCAGTTAAGCAGTATTAAACTTTAAAGGCTACGAAGTAAGCTGGAAAATGTGCTTAACTATGAGAGGGTGCAGATGGGGAAAGAGGTTCCAAATGAGTTACCCTTGCTATTAATTCATTCGCTATCTGAGTATCTTATTTCCATTATCAGGGATCGAAACGATTATCAATGAGAGTTCAATAGTACTTCACTTCAATAGTACTTTACTGATACTAATCATATGGTACTTAACATATGTTGCCCTGACAACATCATCGCTAAAAACCCAATACATCTGATTCTAACGCCATTTTGCTTTTTATTCCATTTTCTACAAATCGTATTCCTTTTTAATAATAAATTTGGGCTTTACAGCTACATGCACCAAGAAAGGCAAACAAAATGTATCGCAATCCTTTCCTTGCTTGAACCCTTCGGAGTCTCACTATTTTTTACTGTGAATAAGGTGTAGGTACGAAAGGATGCAGATAAAACAAAATAATTGTGATTGATGTTTTAAGAAACGAATGAAGGCACCACATTTAGTAAAGATACATAAGTACGTAGACATCACAAAAGACTTAAGCCAGTTCAGGAGTTCAGATAATGGTGAAACACTAGGGCAGAAAAAGATGACCTGAAATGCTAAAAGTAGAAATATGACAAGTAAGGTACAAATTTTTATTTATTGTATTTATTGTTCTCGTTTTTTGAAATTTCGAAAAATCATCCTTAATAATCCAATATTTTTTTCAGCGAATATCCTGTTAGTTTTTTATTATTAGCTGAATTAGGTGCTCAGACGAGAAATCTTGATGGCATATAATTCCCTAATTCATATAATGGGCAAAGACTGGTCATTTGAGTCTGCGTGAGACATTTTCTTTGAGGGATGAAAACATATAAGCGTTGATTCTATATACAGGGTGATCATGAAGTCCCAATCTATTTTTTTTTTAAACTCAAAATTCTTACAAAAATGCATAATGTGCACTTCACATTGTCAATGGTGAACTAAATAAAACTGGTAATAGTAAATTAAAAATCAGTTATTAACATTCTTTTACTAATGTTTCACATGTCCACCTTCCAAATCGATACATAACTGGAATTGATCTGTTGTTTCCCTGAACATTCAGGATGTTCCCCATGTCAGGGATTATGGTATTTAGTTTAGTTCACCATTGACAATGTGAAGTGCACATTATGCATTTTTGTAAGAATTTTGAGTTTAAAAAAATAGATTGGGACTTCATGATCACCCTGTATATCATGAGAATGATCTGAAAAAGTAACCTTTTGGTGTAAAAATATCAATATTTTAAAAATGTCACGAATTTAATGGTTTTGAGGCATGAAACTTTGACTTCGACCTACAACCTTTCGTGGTGCGCTTATAAGGGCCTTTATACCGTGCCGATTAATACCCTGATGGCAACAGGTTGGAACCTGCTACATCAAGTATTCGTACATGTGTGACACTGAAATAGTATAGGAATTCTATTCACTCCAAATAACTAATATGTGCTCATATCCGTCTGATAATATTTTCCATTTTCGTCTTGATAGGAGTGAAGAAGAGGCGACGAAAGCGATCAATCACCCCCTCCCGAGGTAAGTCCATGGAATCAGAAAATATTGCAATGGCTGGAGTATGCCTTTTGATTATTATCAGAAATTGTTGGTTACTTCGAGTTCAACGTTCGCTAAAGCCTATTATGAATATTGATGTAATCATTGGGTCAGTTCCGCTTTTGAGGGTCGAGAAATGAAGTTTTTGATAGATTTTTTTTGCTCTTGCGGAAAAAAAGACAACCTGCGAAAGTGGACAGCTGTCAGCAGAGAGACCTCCACGTTCTTATGTATATACGAGTTTTCACAACAATGGCCCGTATGCAAGAACTTATCACTTGATAGCCTATTACATGGCAGCTATCATGATATGTATCAGGCGATAGGTCTATTATTTGCTCAGTTCCGTATGCAAAAACAAATTAAAAGCATCCATCGTGAGGCCTATTATGATAGGTATTCATGAATCTTCCTGATGACAACCTCGTATCCATCGCCCAGGAGCAATGCCATGAGTGTCTGCTCACATGACTGACCAGAGTGTTGTGTGATGATTTAACGGTATTAATCTGACACCCCTGCTGAAAAAACCTCATGAGAATCTCATGAGGTTTCCTTTTGAGATTCTCATGAGGTTTTCGGACAGAGGTCTCATGAGAATGACCTCATGAGGTTTGAAACAGATATCTCATGAGGTTGACTTCATGGGGTTTTCGCATAGAGGCGCCACTTGCCTCGTGGCCCAATAGCCAATAGTCTCTTGGGACTCAGCTTGGAAGGTCCAGTGAGGTCCTTAAAAGAGAAATAATCATATACCAAAGAATATATACGGTTAAACAACTCTCATTTATTCCATCCTCAATACGTCATTCCATCTTGTAGGCCAGAATTGACTGAAGTCTCTCTAAACTGGGCTATCTCTTCGGACAAGTGTTTTTAGAAAATCAAATATCTTTGATTATGTTCAATATAGAAATAAAAATGCATACAACTTGGTGAGTACAGGAGAGATGTTCCAGTGAGATCAGGACATTCATCCCATCAGAGCAGCTATACAGTCCCCATCTCGCGTCGGTTGTGCACTGCAGAAGAAACCTCATGAGATCCTCATGAGGTTTTCGAACAAGAGGTCTCATGAGGCCTCGATCCTGATGAGGACGTTTCGAAGCCTCATGAGGAACTGCACAATTCTCATGAGAAGGTCGTGAGACCTCGTTAAGTACCTCATGAGGATATCCTCATGAGATATTCGGACAACCTCACGAGAAAGTCGTGAGGTCTCATGAGACCTCATGAGTTTGTAGTGAGGTTTTTTCAGCAGGGACCGTTTACCAGACTCGTGCTTGAATTCCGACTGCCGTGACTTGATACAAAGAATTCTATGGGATTTAATCTATCTCAGAGTAACTGCGCTCAGCACAAGTTGCGACGGTTCACATAATTAATTGGGTTAATAAAATGCGCTGCAAACCACCCTGGTAGCTCCTTATAAGCAGAATAAACAAGCTCTGGATCATAATAGATTGAAGCAATTTTTGTACCTATCATGATACCCTATCATGATAGGTATAAAATGTTTCTGCATACGGCCCACCTATCAAACCTATCAAACTTATCATATGATACCCCCCAAAATAGCTATTTTATCGGTTTTAAACGTTCTTGCATACCAGCCAATGTCTTGCGCAATCAATGACAGGCCTGCTGTAATACTTCCATCCCTGGAGATATCTCATTAAGTCTTGAGTATTTCGATGGGCGGTATTTTCCTTTAAAAAAAAATCTATAATGATGAGGAAATTAGGCACAATGAGGGCGATACCTCTTCACCTTCTCTGTTATGTTAGCTGGCGTGGAGATCGCTAATCGTGGAATTTGAACTAAGAAAATATAATGGGTTATTTATTTCTATCGATACTAGTGCACATACCATTATTAGACAGCTTTTATAAGAGACTTCTTATATTTGCGAAGGACACTAAATATGAAACAATTCAATTTCTGGGCAGCCAATAACCCTTTCTTGGGGGAGCGTTTCGCAAGGTTAAGAGGCGACATGCACCAAATAGCGGTAGACCATAATACATTTAGAATTGGAGTTCATGCCAGTGCAGAATTGTGCCTGTATGAATTCTAGATGACGCCTCGCCGAAGGAACGCGTCTACCCAGAATGCAAACTCACGAACATGGGAAAGGAATACATGGGGGAAATTGATGAGACGGAGACAGGAAAGGCATGCCTTCGCTGGGATTCCCAACCATATGGCAAACCAGAGGACTTCATGCTGGATACACCCTACGAATGGCATTTCTTGAACCTGAATGTTTCAATCCACGAGAATCATTGCCGGAATCCAGGAATGAGAGAGAGACCGTGGTGCTTCGTTTCCGACCAACAGATTCAATGGGAATACTGCCAAATTCCATTCTGCTCCGATATGGGTACGTCCATGAATGTAGAGAATGTATCTTGCACATGCACACTCTGTGACTTGAATTTAAATTCTTATCCCGGATCAGAACCGCGCGAGTGCAAGCTGACCACCTTGGGAGGTGAGTACATGGGAAGAAAGAACGTGACGAAATCTGGCCGTCCATGTCAGCCGTGGTCAAGCCAACAGCCCAACACTCACGATCGGCTCAAGTTCCGTTCTGCATTCCCAGATGCAGGGAAGGAGATGGAATTGAATCACAATTTCTGCCGGAATCCCGATGCCGAATTCGAGGGCCCTTGGTGTTACAACGGCGACAGCATCGATCCCCGTTGGGAATACTGCGATGTCCCCCCCTGTTGATTCCTCTTTCCATTCGGGATCTCTCTTGCCTTGACTTATCGCTTTCTCACACGACACGACATATTACCATGATTTGAACCTTCTCTACTTGTCCCTAGCCTCAAAATTCACTGGGATCCCATAGCTGCTGGAATAATTATTTCAATATTTTTCGTCACATTTACCCGTGAGAATGTTGAAGCAATGAATCCTATTAAGACTACCAACCATTTGGTTTTAAATTGTGCTTGAGAAGAGAGTTCGTTTTGAATTCGATTCACTCTTTGACAGTTCCAAGAGATGTGACGGGCAGAAACTTGTTATTTGTTGTATGTTTTATTTTCCTTTCGTCGATAACGACTCCAAGTCATTCATCCTCTTCATTTCCTCATTTCACAACTAATATGTCTTTCGTCAGAGAAAGCGATTCTCCCCACTTTCTTCGCCCTTGCACGGTCTCGTCCTCATGCACTGACTAGTCAATAAAACCAGCCCGAGCATAAACTGAATTGAGTTCTTGAACGTACAAGATTCGCATACACGATAGAGCTGCCAAATAATCGCTGGTTTTGGGGTTACCTAGGAAGAATTCAAGAACTTGGGACTGGAATGGTAGATAGTTATTTAACATTTTGTTTAATGATTTTATTGAGCTGTTGCAAGGTAAGATGTGGATGTGAAGTGTGCACTCGGGAATATTGAGCTGCTCCATGTTAGAAAGTGCCCTACATCGCTCTGCATCCACCTCCCCCATTTTCCTGCCTCTGCCATATGAAAAGACGCTCAAGCAGCATGTTTACGTAAACAAGATATCAATTCTCTGCAAACAATGTCAATTTATTGCGATTGTCATGAAAATGACATCATGTTTACGTAAAATTTACGTTCCTATATTTACGTCACCAAAGTGTACGTGTATAATTCCTCACTAGATGGAACCCTTGTTCCCTGCATCCTACAATTACTAGTAAGTACTGGTTTTCCTGATAGAATATTAGATTTTCTTACCATCCTTCCTTTTTTTATTATGCAATCCATGAATATATATATGGAAATCATGAAATTATAATATATATATTTATAATATATGACTCAGGGAATCAATAAATGCTGAAGTTAAGCTTTTTATTACAGCAGTGCACAGAATTAGGGAAGAGTAGAATCCCAGCTATACTTCTCTACCCTAAACGGGAGAGAGCTCCTTGAACATCTACTCCTCCTCCCGAGGTTCCAGTACGGGAGGAGGAAGTGGTAGGTCATTTTGGTACTCTTGGGTGCTGATGAGGATGAGTGTACTCATCCAACCACCCTTGAGTTCTGAAGTATGGAAAGGAATGGGAGATACAGTATATCAATTCTTTTCAAAGGTGCTGATTGGCTCGTTAAAGACACATGAATGCTAGGGGAAAATTAACATAAATCTTACGTAAAATCAACGTAAAAATACTGTTAGGAATGCAAACGGGCATGTCAATTTTATATCACCGTTTATGTATCACAGAGGTGACATTTATACAAGCATGTTGGCATTATCTTGACAATGGTTTGCGTAAAAATAATATAAAATGGACAAAAATTTTCATTCAGTTTACGTAAAATTAACATAATCATGCTGTTTGGGCGTCTCTGCTCCAGAGAAAAAGGTGAACCTAAAGGGGAACCCCCCCCTCCCCACGGATCTCCAACCTTGCTCTAGAGCCGCTACCTTCTCGATTGGTTCCTTATCGTCTTGTCACCAATGACTCGCTCCCAAGCTCGACTAGCTATATGTATTACAATAGATCAACCCGTGTGGATGCTGTCACTAAGCAGATGTAATGCAATAAGCATGATGTGACCTATTTTTCAATTTATCTTCTTCACAAAGGAAGTTAAACTTGAAGGCTTAGGTGAAAAGGAAACTACCAAGCAAGACGGTGTCCTTCATGGTCCTTCTGGCAGTATATACACACCTCAGAAAAACTTAACACCTAGGATCAGCTCGACACCCTTTTGGGTGCCGAGCTTTGCCCTACTTTTGTGGCACTAAGACCCATGGATCCCCTTTTCAAGGAGGAAATGGGGATAAAGAGAATGTTCCCCCTTGAACGAAGCGTACTTTCGAGCGTCCTAGAGTGGAGTGGGCAGGCCCCCCTGGGGGCCACGAGGCCATCATTGATGGGGCCTAATGTCCTTTAAGGCTCCAGGCCAGGACACTTCCATTCGAATTTCCAATTACCAGACTAGGGTCACTAAAGGCTTCCCTGGTAATTTTATCCTGAGTCGGAAATCTAACTTAATTTCATGTACACTTACTATACACAATCACCAGAGTCCGCTAGTGACACCTAGCGGCGGGAGCTGAAAGCATAGGTCAGGGGTCACCTTTCGCCGGAGTCACAAGTTTTTACTCCCTTATCGTGACGATATTAACTTTCTTCATTTAATTGTTTCACCATAACTGTAATCCATATCTGATAAAACAAAATGGGTGACATTAAAACTTTAGAAAAATGTTTTCCAATTTACAATTTAAAAAAGCGGTAACCTGGAACTTTTAAAAATTAGATGTTTCATTCAGAAATAAGAGGTTAAGAGCTTGTATGCAATTATCTATTTATAGGTAATTGTATACAAGTTCTTAGTACATAAATTATGCAATTATGTTTATTTATTTATTTACTTCTCTAAATATTTAATGATCACGATAATGACGATATATGTATGGTTCTATGCATTTCCTGGTTAAATATTATTAATTACCGGCATAAGCTTTACGTAGGAACGACGCGTTACACAGCAATAATAAGAATCTCTCCCCCCCCGAAAAATATGCATATTGATTGGTGGTTTCTTATAGGGGATATTGTATGAAGGAAGAAATTTTAGTATTTTAGCCCAATGGGGGAATCGACCTCAGTTTCTACTTTTGAAGCACTTGGTGATACTTTTTTCTGGTTATGAAAAATGATTTAATCAGCTGCATTCTTCGTAAAACTGAAGCTTTCTAGGCTAGGAACATTATGTTGGGCAAAGCACTTACAAGATCTCTGTGTGGAATTTGAATAGAGATATTGGCCTATTTGCAACTGTAGTCTTTCAATCTATGGACATTCTATGGCCATTCTGTCATTATGTCATTCTATGGTCTAATCTTTCTTTTCCCGAGTAAAAGTGTGACAGCGCAAACCGAGCATTGAAATGCTAAGCGTGCACTCATTCACAGGCTGGCACTCGACCTTGTCGAAACAATTTTCTCTTCATAAGTAATGAGCTTCAGAGTGTAAGAGATTTTCCTAGCATTACTTGGATGACATATCCCAAAGAAGATGTGGGTTGCCTCTCGGCTTTATATTCAATACATGAATTGGGTCGGGTATTCCTGAAATTATGGAACACGAGAAATCAGTTTTCCGGCAATGAATTCATAATGGGAAAACTTTCTGACTTTCATCCAAAAAAATTCAATTTTTGTCCCTCATGACAGATCTCATTATGTCTGCCCACCGTGGTGCCCATTAGACTATGCTACATCAGGAGCAGAATCAATTGATTAAAAGGAACTGACCGTAGGGCGGGGAGCCTGAGTGAGCTCACTGAGGGCCATTGACTCCCCCGTTCATACAATACAAATACAAAAGGAAAGTGGGAAAGGATCTCCCTGGGAGTCTTCCATTGGAAAGACAGGAATCTTCTTGGGACATTTTATCTTGCTTCCTAGACAATTGGGTATTTGAAATGATAGTCTGTCTTTTTCAAATTTCTTCCATTATTCTTTCTCATGATACTCCAAATTCGATTGATCTGAGTTTGAACATTTGCACGAAAAAAAAATAAATTTGAAAAAGTCTAAACCGAAAGGGGAAATGAGTGTATCTTTGGTATGAGGACGCGTGACTTCCTGAACGGAAACGGAATGGAATGAAATTTCCGCTTCGCCATTCCGCGTCCCTAGACTTCATATCCGGCTGGTTCCAAATCTCTTTCTCTTCTCGTGATTTCCACAATCAGGTGGTGCTCTACCTATTGTATTTGTGCCCTTCATTACTAACTATGACGAGCCGATCGTCCCTCAGTCATCTGCAGATCCAATTACTGGGAATGAATGATGATACATGAAACCACATTTGTGATGGATTCAAAATCTGGGGGGGGGGGGTATGGGACAGTTGGTTACTGGGATCTTTCGCAAGTGCCACACAATAGAAAACTACCATGGGAACTTGGGAAAAGGTATGTCATATTTCACTGATGTCTTCAGTCTTCAGTCGCATGGTGAATAATTGATAGTTTTAAGGCATTCCGATAACTTATATCCGTCAGAGAAAAAGTCTTCATTTGGTGCTGTTCAAAATTCAATTGAACGATCGAATTTCGAACGGCACCAAATTTCTCGATTTCTACCCTGGAGGAACGAGAGGAGAAGTATGTGCGTGAAATGCTTTTCAGGTAGCGCCGTCTGCATCAATGAAGTTACGAATCATGATTTTCTAACGTTCACTTTTCTCAGAAAAGTGAGTACGAAATGACATTTACCTGGTTATCAAGGTGAGCTTGCGCCGACTGACTTCCGCTTCAACTGACTTAAGGAGCTGCTTAAAAGAAAGTCTTATCCGTTCTCAGTTTTTTTTTTCTCGAACTATGATCGGATATAGCAGAGAATCCGAACTCCATTATTCCTTAGTCAGATTACGCTTCGAGAAAAAAAGGATTGAAAAGGAGGCAAGACTTTCGATCGAAGGTGGTCTTTAACCCATTCGCATACCGTTTTTTTCTCACTAAGAGTTGTTGTGAAATACCATTTAAGTTGCGAAGAAATTCCTCATTGCAAACTTAACCGAAGGCTAAGGCTACATATAAAAACATTTTTGCTCAAAAGCTTTTTTGAAAAACGTTTTTTAAATCTGCCAACATTGAGCCCAATGCACCCGGGTACAAAAAAAAAAACATTCTGAGAAATGTTTGTGAAGCACAATAATTTTTTGTTTCTCGAGCCCGCACATACGCAAACGTCGAATAACAGCAGATAAATATTTTTCTGGATTTCTTCACTGATTTCCCACTGCCATGGAAGCGAGCCGGCGGAAAAGAGAAGTACAGTATTCAACAAATTTATTTCGCATTTCGACCGCAGTGGCAATAGGGAGTCTGGCATACGTTCCCGCTATTGGCTGGAAAGTGGACGGAAGAGGTTCCATTTCCTCCTCTGTTTCCGTCTCCATGAGCGCGCCAGCCACTCCTTGACGATCTATCGTGAAATTCTGAAGGGCGCGACAAGCCAAAACGATCTTGTCAGCTGTATGAACAGTTACTTCGAGTGGTCGATGGAAAACTCTCCACTTCGCAGCCAAACGTCCGAAAGCCATTTCTACCACTCGCTGCGCCCGTGACAGATGGTAAAATAGTTGTAAATTTTCCGTTTCTCCGAAAGCTGATTCCTTGGTAAAGGGCGCTGGAGGTCAGGTCTCAAAGGAAATGCTTCATCTCCAATGATCACGAGTGGAAGATTCTCCTCGCATCCTGGCAGAGGTTATTTCCAAATTGC